CTGACAAAACGTGGTTGCCCACCTCAAAAAACATAATTCATGTGAAATTATCTAATGAGCTATGAACTAAACTACAAGAAATAAAAGACAGTTACTTGGTTAATGTTATAGATAAGAAGAGCCCTCGTCAGTGTCATTCTGTGCCATTTAATTACAACAGTTAGCATACTTATTATTAGGTATCACCTTAAACACTATAATCTAGCACTGAGGGAATGATAGTTTTGAGATGTTCTTTAGTCTAATATACTAATAATTACCGCTTTTATTTAAACATGTCCTTAATGTGATTGTCTTTAGACTCTTAATTAACACACAGAAAACTACAAATAGAAATTGAAAATGAACCACAATTTAATGTAGAAAACACAACTAACCTTATTAGATAATTATAGTATCTCCTCCAGAAATTATGGTGAAAGCATCTTATAGACTAAAGAATGAGAACCTGAGCTATGCCTAAATATGTTTTCAAGTAAATGTTGTGATATGACCATATTTTGCTAATTTCAGTATTAGTATGGAAAACCAGTTTATCTAACCTAGGCTTTTTGTGTTATACCTGATTGATGAGACTGTACATACTCATGCAAGAATATTATTTTACAGAAAGGATTACATCTGATCCTAAATAGATAAAAATAGACATATGTTTAGGTATAATCATATGTATATTATTTTAGTTCTAAGTTGTCCTAAAACTCCACAATCTCACTAATAGACTGAAAGGCCTTGGTCTTGATAAGCATCCGTTTGAAGACTGTTCAAATTAAAATCTTAGAAAACCATTATTAGTTAGCGATATTATTAAAGCATTAGAAAGATTACTTACTATATTTAATGGCTAAATTTTTCTAAATTTCTAAATTATTTACAACATTTTGTATTTAAATTAAGAAATGAAAAAATAAACCTTAAATAAATTATATCCCATCTTTTTTAAAAAGTAAAATGAAGAATTTGGAAACTCCCTCTTCAATATACACAGCTACAATAATATATAAATATGGCCGGGCGCGGTGGCTCAAGCCTGTAATCCCAGCACTTTGGGAGGCCGAGACGGGCGGATCACGAGGTCAGGAGATTGAGACCATCCTGGCTAACACGGTGAAACCCCGTCTCTACTAAAAATACAAAAAATTAGCCGGGCATGGTGGCGGGCACCTGTAGTCCCAGCTACTCGGGAGGCTGAGGCAGGAGAATGGCGTGAACCCAGGAGGCGGAGCTTGCAGTGAGCTGAGATCCGGCCACTGCACTCCAGCCTGGGCGACAGAGCGAGACTCCGTCTCAAAAAAAAAAAAAAAAAAAAAAAAAAGGAATATATAAATACATTACTGGCTACCTGGTCTAGTCTTTCACTTGCCCTCATTAAGTTAACAGCTTCTTGAGACCAGGGTTATGATCCTAATCTTACATATTGATGATAAGCTGCATGAAAATTATAGCTATCCAAAAAAGTCTTTAGTAAAAAGAGGTACTTTGCACCATCCAATATTCTGTCATATTTATCCAACCAACTAACGTTGACATAAGAACAGTAAATTAATTTTAATGTTAGTTCAAACAAAAAAATACAGCTAAGACAGAGATAAATCAGTTAAAAATTATACCAAAATTTCATGCCAAAATGCCAGAAACATGTTTTTTTTTAGTTAACACTCTCCTTTTAGTAGCTTCTCTTTTTAGTCTATGATCGTGAAAGATCACTTCTACTCTGACCAAAAGAACTGGAACATCCATAAGGAAAATGCCCATGTATAGTTTTAAAGTAGGCAAGCAATTTGGCCAACTCCTTTCTTTGGTTAAAAATTCCAAATAAATTAGTAAGAATCTCTTACTGTCTATAAACTCTTAATATATAAATTATTGCTGTAAAATTAATGATATGGTTAAAATTAACTGTTTTAAAATTCTGCATGCAACTCTTCACATTTGATAAAATATAGTCAAAATGAAAATTATCTTCCAATTGATCATAAAACTTGTATGTGACACTGAAAAACTGTACATATGTTACTAGACATATTGTTTCCAGGACATACAACTGATTTTTAACAATACTTTGCACCATCAAATGAGGATCGCTTCTACATTGTAACCATGGTAAATTTTATGCTTTCAACAACCTTAACACCCTACCCTGCCTTCTCGGCATATATCTTCAATTCCTTCAAGAAATTGCCTTCGGGACAAATAGATTTTGTTTTCTGCATTACTTAAGTGATGTTAAATCTTCGTTGCTTCATAGATATTTAGAAACAGACAAAAATCATTTGGAAATATGTCAGATGTATCATTTCAGGTCAAAACTGAAGTAAAATTTAAGTTGTGAGAAATTATTTTTTCCATCTTGGAATTTCATTCTAAAAGCAAACTGATGAGTTACAAAATTATTCCAGATTTTTAAGAAGTAATTTAATCTCAGGGCAAATTATTTGAAGTAGAAAATTCAGTTTGCTATGCATGTACCAGTATAGATACATGTAAAATATAGTTCACAGAATTTTTTAAAATATATAATAGCTATGCTTATGCTATTCCACATATTTTTACACTATGAATATATGTTAAATGTTTTCACTGTCAGCATACATCAAATTTATAAATATATACACATATTTATAATATATCTATTTTTATTAGTGGCATAATAATATGGTATTATACAAGAGTGATTATATTTATCTTAATTTTTGAGGAAACTATATGTGGTGAAGAGGAACAGTCATTTACATGAGGTCCTAAATGAAGTACACTGATTCAGTTCTCATTTTCCTTTCTATAAAAAAGGGCAAGAATGTATGTGTCTTATGTTGCTGTGAGATTTATTATATCTCCATAGCCTAAGCTTGGGAAGGACGATTCTGGACTTATAAATTTAAGAGGTTTAATGCAATAATTCTTGGAATCCTCATTTACAGAAAGCTTCATTTGTCTTTCAGCTTCATGAGCTACACCAGTCAACTGTAGTTTTGGGCTCTGTGCTAAAGGAGCTATTAATGATTTAGGGTAGCAGTCCCTCTGAAATACACCTGAAGAGATACTCCAGGCACTTAATATGTGTCTAGCTTATCTCACAATTTGCACAAACACAGAAAATAAATATTATGCAATTTGTTCCTTGAAAGACAAAAAAGAAACAAACAGATAAGTTACAATATTTGAGCCCTTTTTTTTAAAAAGTAATTTCGTAAATTGTTTTATTTAATGGGGAAACAGAGCTATGGTCATTTTAAGTAGTCATCCCAGTTATGACCCAAACTTGAGCCTAATGACATATCAGTTAGACCATATCTTTACTGGTAGAACAAATGGGTAGCATAAAATTTGATCAATATAGTCAACCAAAAAGGAATGTCTCAAATCACACCCCTATCCCCCAGTGTTCCCTGGTATCTGCCAAAGTCAGCATTTTCCTTCAGGAGGATTACTAATTATTTTCACATCAAAATTACCAATGTCATTACCTCCATGACTGCCTTAATTTTGCTTTGCTAAATAGAATTTGATCAGTTAATATTTATTAAGCAACTACTATATGTCCTGATTTTTCTACATGCCTCCAAAAATTAGAACTATAAGGGAAATAACCTAGAAAACTAATATTGTCACTAGTCACATGATCATTTAAATCCCGCATGTAGTTTTACTTACCAAAAATTAAAAATCATACCCTTAATTTCTAAACGTTTAAATTATTTCTGATTAATTCAGTGTATGTTATCAGATGATCTAAAGTGAGGTAAGCTTGATATATAATTATGAAATGAGACCATTTAAAGTATAGCTCTTGCATCAGCTTATTAAAATGAAAAAGTGATAATACAGTTTCTAGGAGGAACTTACATAACTAGGAGGATATTTTTAGATCACATAATTTAACATGAATATGCTATTAAGTTCATCAGTTAAAATTACCAAGCAACATACATCTAAATAAAAATCTATTGATATTTTCATCCTCTGTTCTTAAACTTGTTCACTCAAGTCTCAGCTGTTATGTTTGCTTGTTTTCATTTTTAACCAAATATAGTCAGTCATGGGACTCATTAGAAGAAGAAAATGAACTGATTTTCTAGGAAGACCACTGAACTTTTTAATGCCAAATTTGCAATTAAGGCAAAAAATAACTTACACACAGAATTTACACCCAAAAATGCAGGCAGATTCTGGAAAAAGGTGACATGCACAACAAAACATTTGTTATATTTATTTATGATGTTCTTGTAAACATCTCCCGCAAAATGAAAAATAGCCTTATTTGGAAATAGCATTATCCCTGATTTTCATGAAATTTTATCTGGAAATATAGTAGCATAAGCAATGATAAATTGAAAGAAGGTTGTTTACACATCATGTCAATGATATATTTGGTACACATAGCTTTTGAGGCACTGAGTATTAGCAAAGATTAATTTTAATTTATTCTTGAAAAAGACAAAAGTTTTACTAGCTGTGTGCTTTTATCCCACTCCAAAAAAGTTAAAGTAAAGGTTATCCCGAAGATACTTTTTTTTTTAAATGAGAGAAAGTGATAAAAAGTAACATAGAAAATGTCACATACATTATTAGAAAACAGGAATGATGGTAAAACATTCCATCTAATTTTTGTCTGTTTAGAAAAACATTGCAAAAATGATTTAAAATCGGATGATTAGTTTTACATATATAACATGACTATTAATGTTTTCAAATTTCTGTAAACCTTATTTTCTTAAATTATTTGGACAAATGCTAGCAGGATTTGCATTGAAGTTTATTTCTCTGCAACAGATTGATCAAATATTCTACCACTTCCCATTTTCTTCCAATTGACTCAAAGTTGAATTTCTCCTAATAATTTGCTTAGTATTAAAAAAAGAATAATACAAACATATGAACTCTTTTAATTTAAATTTGTATTCAAGAAGTGCTTGTCTGATATAATTCAGCTGATAAATATGAACCTATGTGTTTATCAAACCCCTAAGAAGATTATCTAAATCAACTTGTGTAATTACCATTCACCATCTGTTCCACCAGGACCTGAGCTGATCTGCTGGCATCTTGCAGTTTTCTGAACTTCTCGGCTTTTTCTCGCTCTATGGCCTGCAGCATGATAGCAAAGGTGAGTAATTCAATACAAGGATTGTGAATCTACACAATAATTATAACTTTCACTTCCCCTTTCAATCCTTAAGATATTTCACTCTGTCAGCTTCTCATGTGAATCTAAAGACTTTTTTTTCTCAATAATTTTGCCATCGAAAACATCAAAACAGCAATAAAAGTATGAGCCGTTTTCATGACTTGCTGCAACTTTTAATAAGATTTCTACCCAACTTTTTTTTTTACATTATAGTTTCTGATACATTTCAATACGAGACTGCAAAAAGTAAAAAGGCAATTCATAACAATGAAAGATAAAGTGTCACATAAGTAACATGAAATTTATCTTGTAAAAATACACCATTGAAATTACTCCTAATAAGTATATGGGCAGTATTAAAAATCAAATTGAGAATCCAGTATGTATATAAAATGGAAAAAATAAACTATCATAAATAATTTAGCAGAAATATATAATATATATATACATATTTAAATACAAGCCTGTAGGCTAATTTTTCTTTCAAAAATAATCATAGTACTCCTATTTCCAAGGAAGACTAGATTGAGTTTCAAAAAGCTTTCTAAATTCCTCTATTTCTCCTAAGAGTTAAATTTTGAACAACAAATACAAAATTATTTCAGTTAACAGTAACCAGCATTTCATACTACTGAGCTTAGCTAATAATATTCCTATGGAGACATAAATTTTAAACCATGGTAGAGTAGAACTACATTACTATAAACATCAAGAAGATGTGACTATAACAATGTATATGTCCTAAAACATAACTATTCAAACAACTATAATGCAATTAAAATATGGTAAGAACAACACACCTGTGACTTAACAATAGTATTATAACAAAGATTTCTCCTGAATTCGAGGCAGAAGGTTATTCTACATGAGGCTACTTTTTAAGACTTTAGTTATATCCACAGGCATTAAAAAAAATATTTCCAGGTATAATATTGGAGTACAGAGGGGAGGGTAAATAATAGATACATGCACAGTCTGCAGCACTGTTGAGTAGAAATTTGTGCAAGGATGGAAATGATCTATATCTGTGTCATCCAATATGATAGCCAATAACCACATGTGGGTATTGAGCACGTGAAAGGTGGTGTGACTGAAAAAAATAAAAATGTAATGTAATCTAATTTTATTTAATTAATTTAAAATATAAAAGTTACACGTGACCAGTGTTAACTGTAATTGTACAGTGCAGATCTAATACATTCCTTTAAAAGCAAATGGTTAAGATAGGCCTGTAATCCCAGCTACTCAGAAGACCTGGGTGGGAGGAATGCTTGAGGCCAGGGGTTTGAGATCAGCCTAGGCAAAATAGAAGGACCTCCATCTCTAAAAAAAAGCAATTTTAAAAAATTAGTCAGGCATGGTGGCATGAGCCTATAGTCCCAGCTACTCAGGAATCTGAGGCAGAAGGACTGCTTGAGCACAGTAGTCTCAGTAGGTTTCAATGAACTATGATTGTGCCACTGTACTCCAGGCTGGGCGACAGACGGAAACTCTTTCATATAATATGGCAATATCAGAAACAGTTTCCAAGAAAAAGTAATCATCTAGACAAGACTATTTATCAAGCACATTAAATTATCAAAATGCTTATACAATAATCCATATATTTTTACATATCTGAAAAGACTCCCTAATTTAAAGAAATAGCTACAAATGTAAAAGTTTTTTGTTTCTGTTTTTCTTTGAGACAGAGTCTTGCTCTGTCGCCCAGGTTGGAGTGCAGTGGCATGATCTCAGCTCACTGCAACCTCTGCCTCCCGGGTTCAAGCAATTCTCCTGGCTCAGCCTCCTGAGTAGCTAGGATTATAGACATGCATCACCACACCCAGCTAATTTTTGTATTTTTAGAAGAGACAGGGTTTCACCATGTTGGCCAGGCTGGCCTCGAACTCCTGACCTCGTGATCTGCCCACCTCAGTGCTTGGGGCGGAGCAGGGGAGATTACAGGCGTGAGCCACCAAGCCTGGCCTGGGTTTTTTTTTTCTTTCTTTTTTTTTTTTTTTTTTTAATTTATTTTAAAGAGTTTCGTAAGTGGGAGACCTGACAATATCTGACTTCGAGGCTTGATACAAACTGCAGTAATCAAGACAGAGTAATATTGGCAAAAGAACAGACAGGTAAATCAATGGAACAGAATAGAAAGCTCAGAAATAGATGCCCGTGAATATCATCAATTGATTTTTGACAAAGAAACAAAGGCAATGCAGTGGAGAAAAAGTCTTTCAACAAATGGCAAGTCTTTCAACAGATGAACAATGCAACATCTACATGCAAAAAAGTTTCTCTAGACATAAACCTTATACCCTTCTTTTAATTCCAATTATTTAATTCCAATTTATTTATTTTCATGTTATTCACTGGATCAACTTCATTTGAAGTTTATACTCTTGATGGTGAAATATCTGACATTATTGTGAATTTTATCATAAATTCACTTTAAAATTTCAACACTGAATATGTTTGTAAAAATGATAACATAGGCTGGGCGCGGTGGCTCACACCTGTAATCCCAGCACTTTGGAAGGTCAACGCGGGTGGATCACCTGAGGTCAGGAGTTCAAGACCAGCCTGGTCAACATGGTGAAACTCTTTCTCTACTAAAAATACATAAATAATTAGCCAGGCATGGTGGCAGGCACCTGTAATCCCAGCTACTGTGGAGGCTGAGGCAGGAAAATTGCTTGAACTCGGGAGGCGGAGGTTGCAGTGAGCCAAGATTACACCTCTGCACTCCAGCCTGGGCAAGAGAATAAGACTCTGTCTCAAAAATAAATAAAATAAAATAAAATAACATCAACATATATTTTTGTGGAACACAGCATTATGGTTAAAAACCATGTTTTCTTGGGTACACATGGATATAAAGATGGGAACAAGAAACACTGGGGGCTACTAGAGTGGGGAGGAGGTGATGGGAAAAGGGCCAAAAAACTAGCTATTGGATACTATGTTTAGCACCAAACCTCAGTGTCACACAATATACCCATGTAATAAACCTGCACATTTACTCTTGAATCTAAAACAAAAGTTGAAATTATAAAAAATAAAAATGAAAATTAAACATACCAAAAATAAATGCAATGTTTCCACTGAATTTAGAAATTTGTGTAGCTGCTTGAAAGTAACTGTGGTATTCATATAATTCATAAAATTAATTAAAAATGAATCAATCAGAGACTCTAGAGTAAAACGTCAAACTATAAAACTCCTAGCAGATAGTTCAGGAGAAAATAGAAATGACTCAGTTTGTTGACAGCTTTTTAGGTACACCACCAAAAGAATGATCCACGAAAGAAAGAAATAATAAGTTGAATACTACTTAATTAAAATGTTCTGCTCTGTGAAAGAAGCTGCCAAGAGAAGGAAAAGAAAAGCCACAGACTCAAAGAAAATATTTACAAAAGACGTATCTAGTAAAGAATTCTTATCCGAAATACACAAAGAACTCCTAAAACTCAGTAACAAAAACAAACAAATTAAAACATGGGCAGGCCAGGCGCAGTGGCTCACGCCTGTAATCCCAGCACTTCGGGAGGCTGAGGCGGGCGGATCACAAGGTCAGGAGATCGAGACCACGGTGAAACCCCGTCTCTACTAAAAATACAAAAAAAAAAAAAAAAAAAATTAGCTGGGCTCCGTGACAGGCGCCTGTAGTCCCAGCTACTCAGCAGGCTGAGGCAGGAGAATGGCGTGAACCCGGGAGGCGGAGCTTGCAGTGAGCTGAGATCGCGCCACTGCACTCCAGCCTGGGCGACAGAGCAAGACTCCGTCTCAAAAAAAATAAATAAATAAAAAATAAAACATGGGCAAAAAACCTTAACAGACACCTCACCAAAGGAAGTATACAGATGGCAAATAAGCAAATGAAAATATGTTTCACATCATATGTTACCAGGGAATTACAAATTAAACAACAATGAGATACCACTACACACCTATTAGAATGGCCACAATCCAAGAACACTGATAAAACCAAAAGCTGACAGGGATATGGGGCAATGGGAACTCTCATTCATTTCTGGTAGCAATGCAAAATGGTACGGCCACTTTGGAAGATAGTTTGAAGGTTTCTTACAAAAGTAAACACTCTACTATATGATCCAGCAATCATGCTCTGAGGCATTTACCCAAAGGAGTCAAAAATATACGTCCACACAGATTCCTGCACATGAATGCTATAGTAGCTTTATTTATATTTGCCAAGACTTGGAAATAATCAAGATGTCCTTCAGTAGATGAATGTATAAATAAACTGTGATACATCCAGACAATGGAATATTATTCAGTGCTTAAAAATGAGCTATCAAGCCATAAAAAGACATGGAGGAACTTAAATGCATGTTACTAAGTTAAAGAAGATAATCTGAAAAGGTTATATACTGCAGGATTGCACCCTAGATTCCAATTCAGAATACATGATAGTCTGGAAAAGGTAAAACTATGTAAACTACAAAACAATCAGTGGTTTCTAGAGATTAGCAGAGACGGGTAGATGAACAGGAAAAGTATTGAGGATTTTTATGGCAGTGAAATTACACTGCATAATACTCTAAAGGTAAATACATGTCATTGTAAAGTTGTTTAAACTTATAGACTGTGTGGCACCAATAGTGAACGCTAATGTAAAAACTATGAACTTTGGGTGATAATGATGTGTCAATGTAAGTTCATCTATTGTAAAAAATATCCCACTCTAGTGGAAACTATTGACAGTGGAGCAGGGTATGTGTGTGTGGGAGCAGGGTTATATGGGAAATTTTTATACCTTCTGTTCAATTTTGCTGTGAACCTATAATTAAAAATAGAGTCTATTAAAATCACAAAAAAGGTTTCATGAATTAGGAATATTGGATTCAGTACCAAGAGTACAAAATGTTAAAAAAGCCAATCATTGACAGAATAAACTCCCATCAGGAATAGCTGTAATATATAAAATACTAATTAAAACTGAGAATAAATT